ACAATGTACCAGGATTTTAACTTAACGTTGGTTTTGGGTGAGCAGATGTTGTGTTGGACGTGTGCAAGAACATGCCGGCATGGCCCGGGAGACACTTGTTCGACGACGGAGAGCAGCGTCGTTACTTTGGCCTGAAGACGGAAGCACGAGGCATCGTTGAGTTCGAGTGTAAGAACCAGAGAGAATATGACGTCTGGACTCACGGCGTTTCGAGGCTGCTGTCCGTTGTCGCCGAGAGAAAGAACAGGCACTGATTAGGTCTCTGCATTATGTCTAACGAATCGCATGACATTGGATGCTGTTGTTTTTGGCTTTTGGCAGACTGTTGGTATTAAAATAGGAGGCGTTAGGCACATGTAGTGTACGGGGAGTTAGAGGAAAGGTCCTGAGCAAAAGCACTTCACTTTTGAATTCGGAATTTCAGAGGACATGGCCTGCTTTAGGAAAAATATATATAGTAGTTAGTTTTAATATGTACTGTCACAAGGGAATTCTCTATGGTATTTTGTAGCATTTGATTATTTGGGTTTTTCAACCGTTAAATCTTTAGTAAAAATCACAAAAACTAAAATCTAACAGTTGAAAAACTCTTAGTACATGATACTTTAGAACACCGTAGAATTTTGTAACAGAATTTACCAAGCTTGCCCAGGAAAGCAAAATTGAAAAATGTGGTAGGTTTTTAAGGGCAAATGTCTAAAACAATTGGCTTTAACGAGTCAAACTATTTTGGTCCGAGCTCGTCACGCTCAATGGTCCCACTTTGGGCATTTGAAAAATTAAGACACAAATACCTTAGAGTCGAGTTAAGTGTGGAACATATATAAGATGGTACACACCATCAATTGCGAAGCCATAATTTTCAAATAATGGGGTTATAATATTAACCAAAAAAGTTTGATTGGGCCAGTTTGTCGAGTAGCAGGCACCTGCCAATTCCTGTCAATATATGTTGAAAACTTATACCAACATATATCAACTACCATTATTTGTAGAGGTTTGTCGAAAGTGGATGTATGATACTGTAGAGTAATATTGAAAACTATCATTGTCAAGCGTATTTTATCAAGCACGTTATGCTCACAATAGAGTTGCACACAAAAATAAAGAAAAGTAAGACAAATATGATAGCTAAAATAGAAGAAGTGGGAGGAGAATGTTGTAATTTAGTTTGGCTTAGTTGTTTATAGGGATCAAACACAATATACAAACAAATATACTTAAATTTTTTAAGTTGTTGAGGTTAAGGCAACTCCCAAACTGGCTCTGCCACTACAAGTTACACTAATTTGTAGCGTGATAACAGATCAAACATAATTGTAGTATCGAATGAAAGATCAAACTTAAAATCAGACATACATATCCTATTGGATCGAGTAAGGGTTGGAGTACTTAAGGGTTATTAAGTTCATATAATTATCCAATTTTTAGAGGTAATTCTAAACTTGTCTCAATCTTTTAAAACATTTCAATTACCTAACGTTTTAAAAACCATCCGTTAAATCACCAGCGTTAAATGGATCCCTAGACCGGGCTCGTTTAACTGAACAAAGTTAACGTTTAACTTGGTTAAAAGACATCAATTTGAGAATTCAAAACTTCGAAATGATGACAACGTCATCACTTAACGCCCGTGACATAAGAGCAACTCCACCTCAGCCTTATAGGCTGGCACTCAGCCCAAAAAATAGACCGGCCTCCCTCATTCCGCTCCACCCCAGCTCAAGCCAGGTCACAGGCCGGCCCATAATCGACAGACCTGTTGACCGGCCCATCTGATGCCATGCTGACGCCAGCGTGGCGTCAGAGGCTGTTTGAATTTTTTTTTTGCGCCAGGTGCGTGGGAAGCACACGCAACTAGGCGCACGTCGCCGACAAGAATCCAGAGCCAGGGCCCACTTGCGTAGGCGCACTTAGCGAACTGATAGGGAGGCCATGTGGTCGATTTTGGGCCTTTGGATTTCCAACGACTAGTTTTCTGAACTGTTGGATTTCCAACAGTCAAAAAAATTTGAATTTGAAATCCAACGGCTAGTGACGTGGCTTGATCTGGACCGTCCAATTCAGAGATCAACGGTCCACGTTTTTCCACCATAAATTTAAAAAAAAAAGCACAATGGTTAGAATTATGACCGTTGGCCACGTGTCAACGTATAGGCTATTGGATTTGAATCTTTTTCAAATCTAACGGTCCAGATTAATTACCTAAATTAAAATTTATAAAAAATTAATTAAAATTTTTTAAAAAAATTTCCTATAAATACCGAACCCTCATCTTCCATCTTACACCATATTTCAATATTTTCAACACTTTCTACCAAAGCTTTCATATACTTTTTGTGTGAAAAAAAATACCAAGAACCTCATCCTTTCTTTTTTTGTCTATATAAACCCTACATCCCTACATCCCTACATCCATCTTCATCGTTTTCAAATCTTGGTTCTTACAATGTCTTCTTCAAGGAGAGTGTATAAACAGTTTGAGGAGTAACATAAAAGATTGTTGGCACAACAGGAAGAATTGGTCAATCTCAAGGAAGGTGAAGGTGGAGATGAGGCTTTTGCAATGGAGGATGATGATGATGATTACCATAGAAGGTAAAGGGTCTTACATTCCCGCCGTGTTATGGAAGTTGTGGGTCAGATATCCAAACCCAGACGTGTTGCAAACTTCATTAGAAAGAGGGAAAAACGAGGTACAAATCTTTTGGAAAATTATTTTATCGCCAACTATGTATTCCCTGATTATGTTTTTAGATGTCGTTTTAGAATGCAATGAAGTTTGTTTGACAAAATCATGAGTGTTATTTGCAACCATGATCAATAATTTGTGCAAAAAAATGATGCTTTTCATATTCTAGGTCTTCTTCCTGAGCAAAAGGTTACTGCTGCATTGCGGATGCTTGCATATGGAGCATCTACAGATCAAGTGGATGAGATAACGAGGATGGGAAAATCAACTGTTCTGGAGTCCTTAATGCGGTTTTGCTCCGCAATCGAAGCCTTCTATAAGAAGGAGTACCTCCGGAAACCGACGCCTATGGATCTGCGAAGGCTACTAAGGAAGGGTGAGATGCTAGGCTTCCTTGGCATGATTGGAAGCATCGACTGCATGCATTGGACCTGGAAAAACTGTCTAAGTGCGTGGCAAGGAGTGTATGGTGACAGAAAATGAGCCAAAAGTATCATTTTGGAAGCGGTGGCTTCATTTGATACATGGATTTGGCATGCATTTTTTGGTGTTCCAAGAGCTCAGAATGACATAAATGTCCTTGCCTAATCTCCAGTCTTCGACGAATTGCTGCAAGGAAAAGCACCCAGAGTCACATATTCTGTTAATGGCCATACATACAAATTGTCGTACTACGTTGCAGACGGCATTTACCCAAGGTGGACAACGTTTGTCAAAATAGTCTCACATCCACAAAGTGAAAAAGAAAAACACTTTGTAAAATGTCAAGAAGGGTGTAAAAAGGATGTGGAACGTTGTTTTGGTATCTTGCAAGCTCGTTGGGTGATTGTCAGGTCAGCTGCCAGAATGTTTGATGTCGAGGCACTTTGATCCATCATGATGACGTGTATCATCTCCACAACATGATTGTGGAAGATGAGTATGATTATGATGTCGTCGATGAATACGATCCAGACACAATGAACAACTCAAAAACACATATCTATTGTGCTCATGACGGCACCGAAGATCCCGTACAACACGAGCCATTGGAACGGGATAGACGTTATAATCAATTGATCGTTGAGTGGTACACTTCATTGCAAGAGTCATATTGGCACTGTACCCGTGAAAGTGACTTTATTGAGCACCAATGGGGATTGTAACAAGGTCAAGATAATTAAAAGGATCTTGTGGTGGAACAACAAAGTTTTTAGTTTATTTAGTGTGTGTGTGTGTGTGTTTTTTTTTTTTTTTTTTTTTTTAAGTTTATTTGATGAGTTTATGTAATTTTATTTAGTATGTTTTTTTTTAAGCTTATTTGATGAGTTTATGTAATTGTATTATGATAATGACACGTGGCGTGACGAGATTGGTTAAAAATCATATTCAAAATTAAAACAATTTTATTTATTTATTATTTTATAAAAAATTTAATAATATTTTAAATAGGTTAGATGCCAGCGTATTTTGTAAGATGGAGATGCATTTGGCCTATTACTATTTATTGAGGTCTATCACTATTCACTGAGTGGATTAAATAAACTGGATGCTGTCGTATTTTTTTAGGGATGAAGTTGCTCTAATGAATATCTATTTTTCACAGCTATTTGAAATATTTTAAGAAGTTGGACCAATTTAAAATCACCCCTGATTAAACCGTTATTCATACTTAACATTAAACCCAACAGCCTAAAATTAACCCATCAGTAAACCAAATCATTCAATGCAAGTGCAACTCCCTAATTTTCAAACAAAATTAGACGGATGACGTGGTCAAATACACTTACACAAGTGTTCCCGGAACAAAGTAGGGACTCCGGATGACGACGTGATCGAACACAGTTGCACCAAGTTTCAGATTTAGGCGCCTCAAACTAGTGCGCCTCCTGGTCATTCTACACTTCTTACTTTATTACGCTTGGAGGACTTTCCGTAGTAGCATTGTCTTGTGATCCCCAAAATAGGAGATGATGGAACAGAAAGGCAGAAAAAGAGCAAAGCGAGGCCCCTTCCGGCTCCACTAACCAGGTCCAATGGGACTTTGGAAGGACAATGATTGTCTGCCCTCCCACTTCCGGTGCTCTTTCGTACTCTCCTGTTTTGTGTGGTCACGATAAAGCACTGGAAGTGAGAGGGTAGACAATCCTTGTCCTTTTGGAATCAAGATAGTTTTCAAATCACGAGTCCGAAAAATGGACAGAATAATTCAAACCAATCATTTCAAATTTTACAAGCCTCATTTGTCCACCCTGCTAAACCACCTCACAAAAACCAAAGGTCCTCATGTCTCTCCCCCTCTCTTGAATAGTTCGAATTACGGGGTCTGTCAGCTCCCGATTGCGAGATCTGGAGAGTTGAAACCCCAAGCAACTATTGACAAACAGAAATCTCCTACTATGGGATAATGAACCAACGAAACACGTTTACAAACGGTGAGAAGAGCTAGGAAGAGGTTGATGATATCCAAATACAAGGAAACTGCAGCCCAAATGTACTCGTCGTAACAGTATCGCTTGATCAAGTTGTCCGTGTCATACACAATATACCCACAAAATATGATCGACGCCAAGCAACCATATATCATCACTGATATCTTATCAAGCGGGAAGAAAACCTGCAATCAAGAACAAACAAACCCAAGGCTTAAAAACGCGAAAACACAAAACATAGACACAACAGGGAGTGTGTTCGTTCAATCAAATAAACACAGCAGGTACCTGAATCAGACCAAATACGATCAGAACCAGTAGAGCTCCGAACAAGAAAGGACCAAGAAAGTTGAAATCTTGGCCTCTCCTTGCAGCCCAAAATGTGTACAAGGTCAGACCAACTACGACCACTGCCGTCAGAATAACTGACTCCAAAATCACCTTCCCTGTTTCAATTCACCAAGTTACATAATTTCACAATGTCATCCAATTGGTTATCAAAGGGGACAACGAAAAGGGCTAGAGACCACTCGATAACTTGCAAACCTCAAAAGTGACCAACAACATGATTAATTTGATGATTTTACGGATATAATTTGAGAAAATATTTTGGCTAAGTGACGGTGATGCTCACTACCCATTGATATTACCGTTTGATTTTCTATCATCTGCACAGATTTCGAAAATCAAACTTATCTAACGGTAATTAATAAGGGGATGGGCGTTGCCATCAATTTAGGATGGTAAGCAAAAATGCAGTCTTAACTCCATCAAGCATTTTCCCTTTTTAGATTAAAAAACTCCATAAATCACAAGAACAAGAGGGTTAAGACGACTCCCTAATTACATCAAATTATCAAAATTAAATATTTACATCACAAAAATACCCAAAAAAAATAATAATAGAGGAAAGTTCATCAGCACTCACCGCTAGTAAATGCACAAGTCAAACCGACGACAAATGCCAGTGAGATGGTAAAAATTCCCAGTAAAAGGTAATTAACCGGATGCTTCTGGTGGTAATAGTACAGCGGGCACAGCACTGCAAACCAAAAAACAAATTAAAAAAACCCTAAATTTCACAACAAACTCACAGAAATCCCCCAAAAAAATCAAAATTTCACAGAAATTTGAAGCGTACCGATGAAAGCCGTGATGATGAGAACGATGTGCGCTAGGCCGGCGCCGGTGCTGACAAAGAAGTTAGCCACCGGCCGGACCGAAACGACGCCGGCGCCTACAGCGATGGTGGCGAGTAATTGGATGGCAACGATCGCGTAGATTTTGCGGATGAAGGACCACCGGAGCTCGGGGCTCTCGAGCATCATAGGGTAAAGCAGCCTCGGTCCGGCCTCCGGATCACTCTTCCGAAACGCCTGATTCCACATCTTCGTCTTCTCCGATTTGCTCAGATTAAGATCGTCGAGTGTTTGGCTGCCGGGATTCCTTGCGGGAAAGCGAAGGAAAGTTCGGGGCGTGGAGGTTTAATAAGTAGAACACAACCCGCACCGCGCAGTTAGAGACTTTCGCGACGGGTCGCGCGTACACGTGTGAGGGATTGGCTGTTGGATTTGGAAGTGACACGTGGCGCTTTGGAGGTTCTGGATGTGTCTCGGGTGTGCCTTTGTGGCGAAGGAAAGTTGCTGTTTGGTGACGGGTGCTGTGGAGGTTATCGTTTTGGGAATGAATTGGAGAGTATATTCTTTGGCAATTCCCCAATTGTTTACTTTTTTTTTTATTAAGTTGGTTGCTTTCCAGCTTAAATTCTTTTTAAAACTGTTTTTTTTCCCTAGTAATTTGATGCTAAAAAAATGCTTGTTTTACCTTGTGAAAGTGTTTTCCCCCGACTTTTTTCACTCCATGAACAGGAGCGTGCAAAAGAGAAAAAGAGTGAAAAATGTTCGTTTTATCTTGAGAAGTATTTTTTCGCGACTTTTTGCACTTGATAAACACAAGGTTGTAGAAATAAAAAGAGTACATAAATTATTTTACATAATTGTTTGTCTAATGTGCGTAGTTCACAATACTTAAATGGAAGATAGTAGATGAAATTTTGCTTCATTAAGTTCTTCTCTGAACAAGATATCCATTTTTTTTGTTAGAAAAAATCTTTGTTAAATTCCCAAATTGAACGTCATATAGATAATCATAAATGATAAACATGTCGACGTGTTAGTGATACACTATCAATATTAAATAACACAAACAAGTGTCGTGCGTAGAGAATTTCTAAAGGGAAGTAATTTTCACGCTCCCCCTTTAGTTTATTACACACCTGCTTTACTTCTGCCAATCTGATCGATACCAATGACAAAATTAAACAAGAATGTGTTGAGAAGAAAAAATGATTGTGTTTATCATTTTTAATCAATAATTAGGATAGTAATAATTTTCACAATCAGTACAAAGCTTTTCTACAAAATCAAACGATAACAATGGACAAAATTAATCAGAAATGTGTAAGAAAAGAAAAAAGATGTGTGTTTCTCATTTTTAACCAATGATTATGATAGTAATAATTTTCAACATCAATTGAAAGATTTTCAATGGCTCAATACATGCATAGTAAAACGGTTCGTCTTTTCCCTCACGGCACATGAGATGAGAAGACATACATTATGTCAAAGACATGAATGTTCTTATAGAAATTTGACGAACCAATCTAGCATGTTCAAAATTTAGCATGGCCACGGCACATGAGATGAGAAGACATACATTATGTCAAAGACATGAACGTTCTTATAGAAATTTGACAAACCAATCTAGCATGTTCAAAATTTAGCATGGCCAGACTTGTGGTCATGAGAAGGCTAAAATGCTACTATTAGTCTTTTTGGCCCCCCGAAAATGGTGGATAACTATAAAGAAAAGTGAGACAAATATGATAGCTAAAATAGAAGAAGTGAGAGGAGAATGTTGTTATTTAGTTTGGCTTAGTTGTTTATAGGGATCAAACACAATATACAAACAAATATACTTAAATTTTTTAAGTTGTTGAGGTTAAGGCAACTCTCAAACTGGCTCTGCCACTACAAGTTACACTAATTTGTAGCGTGATAACATATCAAACATAATTGTAGTATCGAATGAAAGATCAAACTTAAAATCGGACATACATATCCTATTGGATCGAGTAAGGGTTGGAGTACTTAAGGGTTATTAAGTTCATATAATTATCCAATTTTTAGAGGTAATTCTAAACTTGTCTCAATCTTTTAAAACATTTCAATTACCTAATGTTTTAAAAACCATCCGTTAAATCACCAGCGTTAAATGGATCCCTAGACCGGGCTCGTTTAACTGAACAAAGTTAACGTTTAACTTGGTTAAAAGAAATCAATTTGAGAATTCGAAACTTCGAAATGATGACAATGTCATCACTTAACGCCCTTGACATAAGAGCAACTCCACCCTAGCCTCATAGGCTAGCACTTAGCCCAAAAAATGGACCAGCCTCCCTCATTCAGCTCCACCCCAGCCCAAGCCAGGTTATAGGCCAGCCCATAATCGACAGACCTGTTGATTGGCCCATATAACGCCATGTTGACGCCAGCGTGGCGTCAGAGGCCGTTTGAATTTTTTTTTGCGCCAGGCGCGTGGGAAGCACACGCAACTGGGCGCGCGTCGTCGACAAGAATCCAGAGCCAGGTCCCACTTGCGTAGGCGCACTTAGCGAACTGATAGGGAGGCCATGTGGCTGATTATGGGCCTTTGGATTTCCGACGGCTAGTTTTCTGAACCGTTGGATTTCCAATGGTCAAAAAAATTTGAATTTGAAATCCAACGGCTAGTGACATGGCTTGATCTGGACCGTCCGATTCAGAGATCAACAATCCACGTTTTTCCACTAGAAATTAAAAAAAAAAAAGCACAATGGTTAGAATTATGACCGTTGGCCACGTGTGAACGTATAGGCTATTGGATTTGAATATTTTTCAAATCTAACGGTCCAGATTAATTACCTAAATTAAAATTTATAAAAAAATTAATTAAAATTGTTAAAAAATACAAAAAAAATTAAATTTTTTTTTCCTATAAATACTGAACCATCATCTTCCACCTTACACCATATTTCAATATTTTCAACACTTTCTACCAAAGCTTTCATATACTTTTTGTGTGAAAAAAAATACCAAGAATCTCATCCTTTCTTTTTTTGTCTATATAAACCCTACATCCCTACATCCATCTTCATCGTTTTCAAATCTTGAGTTCTTACAATGTCTTCTTCAAGGAGAGTGTATAAACAGTTTGAGGAGTAACAGAAAAGATTGTTGGCACAACAGGAAGAATTGGTCAATCTCAAGGAAGGTGAAGGTGGAGATGAGGCTTTCGCAATGGAGGAAGATGATGATGATTACCATAAAAGGTAGAAGGCCTCACATTCCTGCCGTGTTATGGAAGTTGTGGGTCAGATATCCAAACCCAGACGTGTTGCAAACTTCATTAGAAAGAGGGAAAAACGAGGTACAAATCTTTTAGAAAATTATTTTATCGCCAACTATGTGTTTGTTTGACAAAATCATAAGTGCTATTTGCAACCATGATCAATAATTTGTGCAAAAAATGATGTTTTTCATGTTCTAGGTCTTCTTCCTGAGCAAAAGGTTACTGCTACATTGCGGATGCTTGCATATGGAGCATCTACATATCAAGTGGATGAGATAACGAGGATGGGAAAATCAACTGTTCTGGAGTCTCTAATGCGGTTTTGCTCCACAATCGAAGCCTTTTATACGAAGGAGTACCTTCGAAAACCGACGCCTATGGATCTGCGAAGGCTACTAAGGAAGGGTGAAATATGCATGATTGGAAGTATCGACTGCATGCATTGGACTTGGAAAAACTGTCTAAGTGCGTGGCAAGGAGCGTATGGTGACAGAAAATGAGCCAAAAGTATCATTTTGGAAGTAGTGGCTTCATTTGATACATGGATTTGACATGCATTTTTTGGTGTTCCAAGAACTCAGAATGACATAAATGTCCTTACCCAATCTCCAGTCTTCGACGAATTGCTGCAAGGAAAAGCACCCAGAGTCACATATTCAGTCAATGGCCATACATACGAATTGTTGTACTATGTTGCAGACGGAATTTACCCAAGGTGGACAACGTTTGTCAAAACAGTCTCGCATCCACAAAGTGAAAAAGAAAAATACTTTGCAAAATGTCAAGAAGGGTGTAGGAAGGATGTGGAACGTTGTTTTGGTATCCTGCAAGCTCGTTGGGTGATTGTGAGGTGAGTTGCTAGAATGTTTGATGTCGAGGCACTTTGATCCATCATGATCACGTGTATCATTCTCCACAACATGATTATGGAAGATGAGTATGATTATGATGCCGTCGACGAATACGATCCATACACAATGAACAACTCAAAAACACGTATCTGTTGTGCTCATGACGGCACTGAAGATCCCATGCAACATGAGCCATTGGAACGGGATAGACATTACAATTAATTGATCGCTGAGTGGTACACTTCATTGTAAGAGCCATATTGGCACTGTACCCGTGAAAGTGACTTGATTGAGCACCAATGGGGATTGTAACAAGGTCAAGATAATTAAAAGGATCTTGTGGTGGAACAATAAAGTTCTTAGTTTATTTAGTGTGTTTTTTTTTTTTAAGTTTATTTGATGAGTTTATGTAATTTTATTTAGTATGTTTTTTTAAGCTTATTTGATGAGTTTATGTAATTGTATTATGATAATGACACGTGGCGTGACGAGATTGGTTAAAAATTCTATCCAAAATTAAAACAATTTTTTTATTTATTATTTTATAAAAAATTTAATAATATTTTAAATGGGCTGGATGCCAGGGCATTTTGTAAGATGGAAATGCATTTGACCTATTACTATTCATTGTAGTGTATCACTGTTCACTGAATGGATTAAATAGGCTGGATGCTGATGCATTTTTTTAAGGGTGAAGTTGCTCTAATGAATATCTATTTTTCACAGCTATTTGAAATATTTTAAGAAGTTGGACCAATTTAAAATCACCCCTGATTAAACAGTTATTCATACTTAACATTAAACCCGACAGTCTAAAATTAACCCATCAGTAAACCATGTCATTCAATGCAAGTGCAACTCCCTAATTTTCAAACAAAATTAGACGGATGACGTGATCAAATACACTTACACAAGTGTTCCCGGAACAAAGTAGGGACTCCGGATGACGACGTGATCGAACACAGTTGCACCAAGCTTCAGATTTAGGCGCCTCAAACGAGTGCGCCTCCTAGTCATTCTACACTTCTGACTTTATTACACTTGGAGGACTTTCCGCAGTAGCATTGTCTTGTGATCCCCAAAAGAGGAGATGATGGAACAGAAAGGCAGAAAAAGAGCAAAGTGAGGCCCCTTCCGGCTCCACTAACCAGGTCCAATGGGATTTTGGAAGGACAAGGATTGTCTGCCCTCCCACTTCCGGTGCTCTTCCGTGCCCTCCTGTTTTGTGTACTTCCGGTGCTCTTCCGTGCCCTCCTGTTTTGTGTGGTCACGATAAAGCACTGGAAGTGAGAGGGTAGACAATCCTTGTCCTTTTGGAATCAAGATAGTTTTCAAATCACGAGTCCGAAAAATGGACAGAATAATTCAAACCAATCATTTCAAATTTTACAGGCCTCATTTGTCCACCCTGCTAAACCACCTCACAAAAACCAAAGGTCCTCATGTCTCTCCCCCTCTCTTGAATAGTTCGAATTACGGGGTCTGTCAGCTCCCGATTGCGAGATCTGGAGAGTTGAAACCCCAAGCAACTATTGACAAACAGAAATCTCCTACTATGGGATAATGAACCAACGAAACACATTTACATACTACAATACACAAAAATCTTCCATGAACATCAACTATTAATCAGTGTATTATAAGAGTTTAGTTGTTTATGACATTCACAATTAATCCTAAACCATAACGACGACAATATGTAATCGCATTTGGGGGAACAAAAGAGACGAACCAATCAAGAATATCTTCTCAACTGTCGGCCGCCCTAAAAACGGTGAGAAGAGCTAGGAAGAGGTTGATGATATCCAAATACAAGGAAACTGCAGCCCAAATGTACTCGTCGTAAGAGTATCGCTTGATCAAGTTGTCCGTGTCATACACAATATACCCACAAAATATGATCGACGCCAAGCAACCATATATCATCACTGATATCTTACCAAGCGGGAAGAAAACCTGCAATCAAGAACAAACAAGCCCAAGGCTTAAAAACGCGAAAACACAAAACATAGACACAACAGGGGGTGTGTTCGTTCAATCAAATAAACACAGCAGGTACCTGAATCAGACCAAATACAATCAGAACCAGTAGAGCTCCGAACAAGAAAGGACCAAGAAAGTTGAAATCTTGGCCTCTCCTTGCAGCCCAAAATGTGTACAAGGTCAGACCAATTACGACCACTGCCGTCAGAATAACTGACTCCAAAATCACCTTCCCTGTTTCAATTCACCAAGTTACATAATTTCACAATGTCATCCAATTGGTTATCAAAGGAGACAACGAAAAGGGCTAGAGACCACTCGATAACTTACAAACCTCAAAAGTGACCAACAACATGATTAATTTGATGATTTTACGGATATAATTTGAGAAAATATTTTGGCTAAGTGACGGTGATGCTCACTGCCCATTGATATTACCGTTTGATTTTCTATCAACTGCACAGATTTCGAAAATCAAACTTATCTAACGGTAATTAACAAGGGATGGGCGTTGCCATCAATTTAGGATGGTAAGCAAAAATGCAGTCTAACTCCATCAAGCATTTTCCCTTTTTAGATTAAAAAACTCCATAAATCACAAGAACAAGAGGGTTAAGACGACTCCCTAATTACATCAAATTATCAAAATTAAATATTTACATCACAAAAATACCCAAAAAAAAAAATAATAGAGGAAAGTTCATCAGCACTCACCGCTAGTAAATGCACAAGTCAAACCGACGACAAATGCCAGTGAGATGGTAAAAATTCCCAGTAAAAGGTAATTAACCGGATGCTTCTGGTGGTAATAGTACAGCGGGCACAGCACTGCAAACCAAAAAACAAATTAAAAAAACCCTAAATTTCACAACAAACTCACAGAAATCCCCCAAAAAAATCAAAATTTCACAGAAATTTGAAGCGTACCGATGAAAGGCGTGATGATGAGAACGATGTAGAGCGCCAGGCCGGCGCCGGTGCTGACAAAGAAGTTAGCCACCGGCCGGACCGAAACGACGACGGCGCCTACAGCGATGGTGGCGAGTAATTGGATGGCAACGATCGCGTAGATTTTGCGGATGAAGGACCACCGGAGCTCGGGGCTCTCAAGCATCATAGGGTAAAGCGGCCTCAGTCCGGCCTCCGGATCACTCTTCCGAAACGCCTGATTCCACATCTTCGTCTTCTCCGATTTGCTCAGATTAAGATCGTTATCGAGTGTTTGGCTGCCGGGATTCCTTGCGGGAAAGCGAAGGAAAGTTCGGGCCGTGGAGGTTTAATAGGTAGAACACAACCCGCCCCGTGCAGTTAGAGACTTTCGCGACGGGTTGTGCGTACACGTGTGAGGGATTGGCGGTTGGATTTGGAAGTGACACGTGGCGGTTTGGAGGTTCTGGATGTGTCTCGGGTGTGCCTTTGTGGCGAAGGAAAGTTGCTGTTTGGTGACGGGTGCTGTGGAGGTTATCGTTTTGCGAAGGAAATGGGCTAGGTCAGCATATTCTTTGGCAATTCCCCAATTGTTTACTTTTTTTTCATTAAGTAGGTTGCTTTCCAGCTTAAATTCTTTTTAAAACTGTTTTTTTTTCCCTAGTAATTTGATGCTAAAAAAAATGCTTGTTTTACCTTGTGAAAGTGTTTTCCCCCGACTTTTTTTTCAATCCATGAACAGGAGCGTGCAGAAGAGAAAAAGAGCAAAAAATGTTCGTTTTATCTCGAGAAGTATTTTTTCGCGACTTTTTGCACTTGATAAACACAAGGTTGTAGAAATAAAAAGAGTACATAAATTATTTTACATAATTGTTTGTCTAATGGGCGTGGTTCACAGTACTTAAATGGAAGATAGTAGACGAAATTTTGCTTCATTAAGTTCTTTTCTGAACAAGATATCCATTTTTTTGTTAGAAAAAATCTTTGTTAAATTCCCAAATTGAACGTCGTATAGATAATTATAAATGATAAACCTGTCAACGTGTTAGTGATACACTATCAATATTAAATAACACCAACAAGTGCCGTGCGTAGAGAATTTCTAAAGGGAAGTAATTTTCACACTCCCCCTTTAGTTTATTACACATCCGCTTTATTTCTGCCAATCTGATCGATACCAATGACAAAATTAAACAGGAATGTGTAGAGAAGAAAAAATGATTGTGTTTATCATTTTTAATCAATAATTAGGATAGTAATAATTTTCACGATCAGTACAAAGCTTTTCTACAAAATCAAACGATAACAATGGACAAAATTAAACAGGAATGTGTAAGAAAAGAAAAAAGATGTGTGTTTCTCATTTTTAATCAATGATTATTATAGTAATAATTTTCAACATCAATTGAAAGATTTTCAATGGCTCAATACATGCATAGTAAAACGGTTCGTCTTTTCCCTCACGGCACATGAGATGAGAAGACATACATTATGTCAAAGACATGAACGTTCTTATAGAAATTTGACGAACCAATCTAGAATGTTCAAAATTTAGCATGGCTAGACTTGTGGTCATGGGAAGGCTGAAATGCCACTATTAGTCTTTTTGGCCCCCGAAAATGGTGGATAACAATAACTTGTCACCAGTTGTCCTCCTTTATAAAAAAATAAAAATAAAACTTTAGCATGTTTAAAATTTAACCGGAAAGAAGAAAGGAAGAAGAACTGGTCAAATGGAAGGGACAGCAGTTCATCATGTTATTTGCATCCTGTCAATTAGCTTCTTGCTTACTTGCATTGCTGCAGGGAAACCGAATGGCGTGAGCGTCGAATTCATACACATATACTCAGCAGCGTCGCCACTCTACCCTGGAAATATTTCTTTTGAAGAAGAAATTCACAGACTAATACACCGATCTAATCTCCGAGCTCAACATATTGATGCTACCATTGCACCATCACCACCAATGTATCACAAACTGCACACAACCCTCTCGATGATTTGATCCTTCATAAACTCGAATATTACCCTCCGGTCTTTTACCTTGTGGCAGTTGGCCTTGTCACTTTCAACACGAGTTTTCGAGCAAGATCATTCAAATCATACTACTTGTATGTTGACACTGGAAGCAAACTCATGTGGACACAGTGCGAGGATTATCACAAACACCAGTGCTTTCCTACTAAGCAACCCTTTCCCTAACAGCCAATCCGAATCTTATAAGCCTCTCCAATGCAATCGTCATTCCCCTTGCACTTCTGCGCCTGGGACACAGCGTCATGGGTGGCCAAGAGGTCCGCTCCATTCTCGCAGGTACGATTTGATATCTGTTAGATACATATGTATATGTGTGTGTGTGCGCATGTACATTTACAAGAAATTTCTAAAATACGACATCCTACGTGTTTTATAATACCTTTGATCCACGTATTCGCAATGACATGGATAGCGTATTTTACTTTTGCTTTCGTTGTTGCTTGCAGGTAAAACTTTCTATTTCTTGCCAAGCAGAGGGCGACCACAGCCTATAGAAAACTTGTGTTTGGTTGCTTATGACACCAAGAACATAAAATTCGGCAGGCAGGAAGACTTCAACATTGCCGGAATACTGGGTTTGGAAAACGCTCCCATTTCCTTTCCAATTATCCCATCTTACCGATGGAGCATTCTCATTCTGCTTACCACGCCAAAGAGACATTCAAACATATCAAAGATCTGGCGCAGACATACCCCAACCACCAGAGTACGCGTCACGACATTAGTTCTCCTTCCAAGGCATAAGCGTGCACGGAGAAAAGCTTCTAACAGATCCAACAGCATCTGCCACTGCCATACAAGATGGAGGCAAAACCAGAGGGTGTGTCTTGGTAGCACACTTTCTAATCTGTCACACCTGCTTACAAGGCACTTACTGAGTTTCTGGAGATGTATTTTATGCACTTTCCTCGCGCTGTTAATACTAAGAGTCCTACGAGAGTGCCTAACTTTGATCTATGCTACGAATGGAAACTGCCTCTAGGGTTCAAAATGCTCACCTTGATGTAATACCTGCATATGAAACTTGGCCCGTAAGAAAAAATTTATCGTTTGAATATAATTGAGATTTAGTCGTATTCTTAAACTGACTCCAAATCAAACTTAAATTTTAAGTGGGATCAACGTAATCTTTTAGTAGATTCTCAAGTTATGCCTATAATTAATGCTCACAAGTTACAACTTCTCCAAAGACTCCAATGCAAACACTATATAAACCCCCAAGTCATTTTTAGAGTTCTAGATCCCCTTCATACGTTCATTCATTACTCATCAAGGCTTATTTCACAAGGTATTAAGTCTTTTTGAAATTTTACGAGCGCGTTATATAACGTTACGTGACGGTGTGCCAGTCGCATCCTATTGTTGTTCTAATGTGTTAAGTACTAATAAAGTACACAGTGCTCTCACGCCATTCAATGAACGCCATGTCACTTGTTGGGAGACGTGACGAAACGTCTCCCAAAACACCTCCGAGCCAAAACGCCGCGTTCCGCGAAAGGAAAATAAATCGTTGGGGTCGTCGTCTTCCTTGCTCACATCGCGTCATTTCGCGAGATCGCCGCTGACGCGCGCGCTAAGCTTGCAGAGTGTGCCAAACACTCCCCAAATCACTTCCCCGAAACCCTAATTCTCTTCTCAAATCGCTCAAAAATCGCACTTCTCCTGCAATCGCCCGACTGCTACGCCGGATTATCCGTCGACTAGTAAGTTTTTCTTCGTTCGTTTTCTCTGTTTCTACTTTAAATCGTTGTTTGTTTATACTTTGAGATTAATTAGTATATAATTAATCGCTGTTATTCTTAATTACTGTAGGTTTTGAGATATGTAGCTGTTCCTTAATTGGTTTTGTTGTTAGATTCGACCGTTGCGAATAATTGTGGTTGTAATGATTTACTATGAATTTTAGGTTTTTGAGCAATTATCGTTACGTTTTAGTTTGATTTGGAATTGGAATGGGGGTCGTTGAAGCGATGCAACATCCGGAATCTTCGAGGCGAATTGCTTCACTTAATGGTAGTCATTCTGAGGGGAGATTGGGACGATCCATGGAAAATGGAGAGTGCTCTTTCCGTGCTCCTAAGTTAAAGAGGCGTACAGTCTATGCGGTTCGTGATTTTCCCCTGGGGTGCGGACGGTTTGGTCAGTTAAGGGAAAATTTGAGATGTCACGAGGGGGCTGCTTCTGGGGGAAATTTTGACAGTGTACCAACAGAAAATTTGGTTAGTAGGGGTGAAAATGGCGATGCACGCGGGGTTGACAAGCTCGGGCGCTCAATTGATCATGTGGATGAGACTGACTTGATGAATGGTAAGGATGCGGGTACTGTGGAGAGAATTGAATCAGTGGCAACCTTAGAGCATGAAATTTCTGATTTGCCAAATGATCTACATGGGTTAAAGAATTCGAGACGGGTTGAAGAGGCAGCTTCTGTTGTTGCTGCTGAGCCTTTGATTAGTGGGGGTAATGACGATGATGAACAAAGGGTTGAAATGCGAATGGTACCTGCTGGTTCAATCAATGAGACTGCATTGAATAATGGTAAGGCTTTTGGTACCGTGGAGACTGTGGATTTAAATGCATTGCTGAATGAAATATCTGATTCGTTGAAGGACCCACTTCAGCTTGGTGTGGCTACACCAAATGAAGAGATGTCTTCTGTTCTGCCTGATTCACCACCCAATGGATCCATCTCCATTTCTAATGGAAATGGTCTGGAGAAGACTGCAGTTAAAAAATATCCTCCTCGAAGAATAGTATCAGCCGTTCGGGACTTCCCTCCTCTTTGTGGAAGAAATCCTGCCCTGGAGGCGAAGAATTTTGGTCAAGAGAGGTCTGCTATGGATGGCGAACCATCATCATTGAAAACAACAAAGACTACTGTGAGACAAACAGGTGAGGATGTTCAAGATAGGGAGTTTCACAAGAGTGAACATGGAGGGGATATTTCTCTACTAATTGGGGACAAGGTTCAACCAAAATGCAAGGGACATGCTGTACAAGAATTGGAAAGGCACGATGATGTAAATTCTGAAATGAACGTGGTTTCAGAAGATGCTAAAAAAATTTGCCATGAACTTTCTCAAGGACACGATGTATTTCAAGACACAGGGAGTGTTGAACATTCAGAGGAGGGAGTGGGGAAGGAGATGGTGGTATACCATGCAAAGGAAAGTCCAAGCGAGACAGGCTTAAGTAAACCTTATTATCATAATCAATTGCACGAAGAAGATTTTGAAAGATCGGAAATTATGTCGGAAAAAGCGGTTGTAATGGGTTTGATGACTGCGTCAAACTGTCCGTGGAGGATGGGAAAAGCGGGCGACCTACATAAACTAGAAGGTGGAAGTAGCGAAAGAAAACAAAAGAAGCTTGATGTGAAATGTCAGATAGAAGGATCTAAGGCTGTTTCCAGGAAAAAAGCTGACTCAGACATTGGAGGAAAGTCTCCAAAGAATATTCTTCCTATATCACAAATGAGTGCTTATGAAGGTACACGTCAGCTTGTTATCTGGGACAAGGAGTATTCTCTTGAGCTTGACCAGAAAGAAGACTTTTATGTGAGTCCAAGATCAGGTTGTTCTGATGTATGTCCTCCTCCTTTTGGTACTAGTAGTTCAACTAGCAAAGTTCGTGATAATACCCGAAACACGGTGAGGGAGACATTGCGTTTGTTCCAAGCTCTCTGTAGGAAGCTTTTGCGGGAGGAAGAGGGCAAGTCAAAGGAAGGAGGAGTTCCTCGCAAAAGGGTTGATTATTCAGCTGCAAAGATCCTCAAGGATAAAGGAAAATATGTAAATACGGGCAAACAAATCCTGGGAACTGTGCCGGGAGTTGAAGTTGGCGATGAGTTTCATTACAGAGTGGAACTTACTATTGTTGGCCTTCATCGCCAGATTCAAGGTGGTATAGATTATGTAAAGCATGGTGGGAAGATCCTTGCAACCAGTATCGTTGCATCTGGTGGCTATGCGGATGATTTGGATAATTCAAGTTCCTTGATTTATACAGGCCAAGGAGGAAATGTGATGAATACTGATAAGGAACCTGAAGATCAGAAGCTTGAACGGGGAAACCTTGCTTTAAAGAATAGTATGGATGAAAAAAATCCTGTTAGAGTGATCCGTGGCTCTGAAGAAGGAAGAAGTAAGACATATGTATATGACGGACTATATTTGGTAGAGAAATGTTGGCAGGATATGGGGTCTCATGGTAAGCTTGTTTTCAAGTTTCAACTTGACAGAATCCGAGATCAACCAGAGCTTGCTTGGAAAGAAGTGAAGAAGTCCAAAAAATATAAAGTACGGGAAGGTCTATGCATTGATGATATTTCAGCAGGGAAAGAGTCCATTCCTATCTGTGCTGTGAATACCATAGATGATGAGAAACCTCCACCATTTGTATACATGACTAGCATGATATATCCAGATTGGTGCCGCCCAGTTCCTCCCAAGGGTTGTAGCTGTATTGTTGAATGCTCAGATTCTGAGAAATGTTCTTGTGCAGTTGAGAACGGAGGTGAGATCCCATATAACTTCAATGGTGCTATTGTTGAAGCAAAGTCCCTTGTGTATGAGTGTGGTCCTTCTTGTAAGTGTCCTCCTTCTTGTTACAATAGAGTTAGCCAGCGTGGTATCAAATTTCAGCTTGAAATCTTCAAAACTGAATCAAGGGGTTGGGGAGTGAGATCCCTAAATTCCATTCCTTCGGGAAGTTTTATATGTGAGTATATAGGAGAGCTCCTGGAAGAGAAGGAAGCTGAAGAAAGAACTGGGAATGATGAGTACCTGTTTGATATTGGGAATAACTACAGCGACAATTCTCTTTGGGATGGACTTTCAACCCTCATGCCTGATGCACAATCAAGTTCTCATGGAGTAGTGGGGGAAGGTGGATTCACCATTGATGCAGTAGAGTACGGCAATGTGGGAAGATTTATCAACCATAGTTGTTCTCCTAATCTTTATGCCCAAAATGTCCTCTATGATCATGATGACGCTAGAATTCCTCACATCATGTTCTTTGCTGCTGAGAACATTCCTCCTTTGCAAGAGTTGACTTACCATTACAATTATATGATAGACCAGGTTCGTGATTCTAATGGCAAGATAAAGAAGAAGAGTTGCTATTGTGGTTCTCCAGAGTGCACTGGCAGACTTTATTGAGGCAGACATCGGAGGAGAATTCTGGGCTACTCGAAAGAGGTGATTTCTAATTACTGGAGGTATCGTTAATGTCAAAGCTTTAGATGAAGTTTGAAATGATGACCATTTTTCTTTGGTAGTTGAGCGACGCTCGACTGTTTGGTTTCGGATGCTTGGTTGTGAAGAGGACGACTAAAAGTACTAATTTACTTGTGTTTGTTGCCACAAGGCCTGTTGGCTATAGATCTAATGTTATACGAAGACAAAGGATCATTGTTCCTAGGGAGCAATATTTTTGCTTTTTTGTGTTTTACACATTGTGTTTCCTTTATAGATATGTTCGTGTTTTCAAATTTCAACCATTACATGTGTTTTCATATATGACCAAATAACTAGGGGACCTTCTACGCCCAACTTTTATCTCTAGACACTCAATAATGAAATTTTTATTTCTAATTATGCTCTTGTTCATTCCACACGGTTGTCACTGTTGGATGTGAGATCTGCACACAACTCTCCCCTGCGTGAGCGATGAACTCTTGTCAATTTGAAGGTGCCCTAGCAAAGCCTTGAGTCGGCTCTTAGACTCTCTTACAAAATTAGTTGTTCTCAGGTGTGCCACTGCTAGCTAAGACTAACAGATTGTTTAAGTTTAGATGTCTTATATGTCGCTTGCTTGTGCCACAAGTAAACTAGTCTTCTTATCAAATGATTTTCTTGTGGAGGGGTTAAGTCCATATTTAAGTTCTTTTCTATGCCTTGAAGACAAGGACTTTATATTTCTCTTGTATTGAATGCCAAAACAAAGAACACAAACTGATCATTGATGATTCAAATCAATTTGCAATCCTTGTAAGAAAAGTAAAGACAGAAAGCAAAGCAAAGTAAAATAAAGTGAGAACTATAAGAAAAATGTATGCAAATACTTATGGAATGTTAGTTAAAAGGACAGTAAATAACATCAAGGGACCATAACTCGAAAGTAAATGATAAATACAAGCAATCAGGCAAAGTTTAAATCTATTCGGGCAAGTTGAAATGCCTTCTAGGCAAGTTTTTACAGTTATTGGCAATGTTTTGAGAAAGGACTCTAATACAGGAAATAAGTACTACAAGGGAAAGTAGCAGAGTTATAAATATAAAGGAATGTTTGAACTACAAAGGGAAAATTAGCAACGAGGTTGTAGAGATCTTAGAAGTCCTTTTGTATGTTAAGTTGAGTGACATTTCTTCAATGTGTCTCCTGCCTTTTATAGAAACTGCTTATTTCTTCCAAAGTAAGTTCTCAGTTCAGGTCCAAGTGGTTGGTGTGACTTTGGCAAAGGATATAAGTTTCCCACTTGGATACTTGAGTTTTGATCCTCTTGTATCTATGACTTTGCCATTGAAAATCTTTTCTATAAAAACCAACTGCAAAATCCGTCCTTCAATGTGAACGTTGGTGATAATCTCATTTTTCAATTATTCAACCATTTCATTTTACCGAATTTAATGTTAGTTAGATTAGTGAACATTTATATGTTTTGATGCAACAACAGAATGTTATATGTAACAAGTAGTTTTGTTAGTTCGTTAATTGGTCATATTTCCACCCAAATACGCCACATCAAAAGTAATTAAATACCCAGCAAGCAAACTAGGAGGATAAAGAATTGGATCCTGACCAGGCCCAATGCTCATTTTCAGTCCAAACAGTCACGACTCACTCGTTCACTCCAAACCTTCAAAAAACCCAGCTCAATCGTCTTCCCGTTTATTGACGAATTGATACAAATTTGCGTTGATACATTTTTTTTTTTTAGGAACGAACGACCAAAACGTCGTTTGGAGAAATCCAGAAAGGTATGCTACAATTTTTTTTACAAGTTTTACATGTCTTTTTGCTCTGTTAAAAAATTTTGGGTTCGAGTATTGTTCAGCACACAAGCACCAAGCACATGCAGGAGATGACAGAAGAACAAGAAGCTCATATAAGAATAACATTAACATAACATGTACTCTTCAAATAATATCAATAGTCAAGTACATTATCAGAAATAAACTCAAGATACCATATATAAAGATTATAAAGATACACAAGTATAATCCATCTGTACGGATGGACGCAACATATAACCAGCTGAGATATAGATAAATAAATTACGAGACAAGTCAATTAACCTCCCTATGTAAGATTCAGGGAAGGGTGGATTTGTGTTCAGGTGGGGAGAGTGAAGGGAGGGGTGCGCCCTTGGGGAGGGTTGGGATGGAGGGCAGTGTAGGCTTTGGTAGCTCAGCTGGAAGATGGGGGAGAGTTGGCAATTCAGGCTTAGGCAATGGTGGCAGTTCAGGCTTCGGCAAAGTCGGGAAATTGGGAAGTGGTGGCAATTCAGGCTTTGGAAGCTGAGGCACCTCATGCAAGGTTGGAACATGGGGTACTTCAGCCAACTTGGAGCCTTCAGACTTTGGGACATTTTCGGCTTTAGGTAGTGGAGGCAGCTCAGGCTTTGGAAACTTGGGCAATTCAGGTTTAGGCAATGGCGGTAGCTCAGGCTTTGGAAGCTCATGTGGCAACTCAGGCTTTGGCAGCGACGGGAAATTGGGAAGTGGTGGCAGCTCAGGCTTCGGAAGCTCTGGCACTTGGGGCAAGGAAGTCTCCAGAAGAAAGCGAGCCCCCGCAACCATTTTATCAGAGCTCATAAGTGAGAAAGTAAAGAGCACAAGCAGTGGTAAGACGTAGGCCGGGCGGAGGCCATGATCGACCACCATATTTGAAACTAGCTAGATTAAAAAGGAACGAAGTTATATAGGAGAAATGCAGTTTGCAGTTGTTGCATGCAATTGCAAAGGTACAAGTTGTGTTTTAGCATGAAAATCTAAGCCAGTATTTATAGAGATATATAAAGAGTTGGGTAGCCTTGAAAAACATGGAGCTCTCAAAGGTTAGGTCAATGGGCGTTGGTGTTGTTAGTTCAACTTCTGAACTGCGTATCTATGCTTCATTTCTTTGCTTTCCACAAGTATGTTGACAACTGTATAAGATTGTTTCCCATACAAGCATTTTGTATGTATAAAATATTGAGTGCAAATCTATTAATCTTGGGGAGAGGACATACGTTTTCTATTCCGGCTCTTTTGTGTTAGTTAATCTAACTAGTTGCACTCAAGACTTGTTTACCAATAAAAAGAAGAAGAAAGTTAAAAGACTTCAAAACTTCCGTACGGGAATAGTATAGCACATTCACTATTTTAGATTTAACACGTATTTCAAGACTTGTTAACGAGAAAATGTTAGATAGTTGGAATGTTCGGGTAACGTAATAAAAAGAGTAAGTTTTCATAAAATTAATAAAAAATTAATGATAGTAACAATATTCAATTAAATTTAGACCTAGTTTGGTATTACATTTTTTTTTTCCCACCAAAAACTGCTTCATTTAAAATTAAGCAGTAAAAAAGTATTTGCTAAAAATAAAATATACTGCTTATTTTAAAAGTAATGACCTCTAGATAGAAACTTTTAAAAGCAGCATGTCGGTTATTTTTAAAAACTGTTTTGATAAAAAGCAAAGTTGAACCTTTAGAATATTTTTAATTCCTGTAATAAGTCCATTAATTTTAAACAATGACATTATTTATTCTTTTAGACACTACTTTTCGTACTCACAACACTTTAAAAAACAGTTTATCAAACGCTCAACTACTTTGTTTTGCAGTTGATTATTCTTAAAGTATAGCATAAGCAATTTATTAAAAAAGCACATCTATCCCAAACTTATAAATAGGTTAATGAGACTTTCAAGTACATTATAACATTTCGAGCTCCTTTCATGATGTCTTTTAAACCTCATCGATGCTCAAGTTCAACTTCTGCACCCTAACCTCGACAAAGCTTCCTTCTAGAAAGTTTCCGACAACTGATGTACGACCACTCCTTCTCGAACCCTATCACCACCATCCGCTTCACGATCTCGTGGAGGTCGTTGATGGTTCTAGAAGGAATAGTTTTAATCAGGATGTCATAGTCGTTGAGATATGGTGCTCCTCACCGTTGCCAATGACATCTTCTTCTTGATTGACCTAGGCAAAATTATTATAGAGAGGAATTTTGAGTTTCAAGTGGCAAATCAGAGGGTAAAGTGGAGCGAATTTTGAGTTTTAGAAAGTAAAGTGACAATTTTTTATTTACAAAGAGCAAAGTGAGATTAAAATCGAATTCCAAGGGACATAGCTAAAAGTAAGCCTATTATAATCTAGTCATTCTTTGTTATTAACTTGAGCCTTATCATATTTATGTAATTGACCTTAGAGTGTAATTTTGAACCATCATGATATATCTTAAATGACACTGAGACCTTAATTTTGGTACGGTACGATAGATACTCCCTTTCTATATATAATATTGAGTTCTCGCAAGTTGCAATATTTATTTTGTAGGTTGCAACACCCTTCTGCCAAATGTTTTACATGATCCTTGAAAAAAAAGTCTTACAAGAACATGGTGTAGGACCACATAGCGGTCGATTAAATTGGCTAAACTTAGCGAAAAGAGAACAGTAGAAAAGTTTTGGGTAATTTTATCTTTACTTGTCCCACATGAATTAGGTTTCCTTTTCTCTAGTTAATTACAATTTTCTTTTATGTTTCCTTTATTCATTAGATTTCCATGAACTACTAGAATTAGGGTTTGATGTCTATAGAAAGACTTATCTTGGAGTTAGTAATTCAAATTACTCACGTTATTATCAATTCAACTTTGGAGATTTTCTTTATTTTTTGGTGAACTCTGGAACATTGATGAACTTCAGTTTATGTTGTTGGATTTGACGCTTGTCAATCCTTCTATTATATTTTTTTCTGCTGCGTCAGAACATTAAGAAGTTTACCATGTTTTGAAAAGGACACAAAAATAGGTCTATGATGATCTTTTGTACAAATTCCCAACACTAATCGTGTTGGCTCACATTTTTTCCGAATAAAGTGGTTTAAATTTGTGTTTGGTGAGAATCGAATTTAAGACCTCTCACTTACAAATAAATAGGAATATCACTAGATAATAATACAAATTGTTGGCTCACATTTTCAATGTTGAGTTTTTCGCAAAAAAAATTGTGAGCATTAAGGAAAATGTTATAATAAATTAGAAGCGGCTTTACTATTCAGTCACATAGGTACCTTTATGGAATCTATAAGCTGAAAATAAAAAAATAATAAAATTATCGTAATTTACTACCAGTTGTTCTTGTTTTTTAAAAGATTAAAAAAGTTTCATTCAAGTCTTTCATACACTTGAAGAAGCATATAATGCAACAAAAATTACAAAAAGAAAAGTTTTATGATGGCTAAAAAAGTAAATAAAAACCGTGAACATTAGCTAACCTTTTTTTTTTTTTTTAAATTGTGACCGTTGAATTTTCACGAAATCTTTTCCATGGTCTTTAAGAAAATTGCTACGAGTAATTTGAAGTGGTCTTACCGCTTATTGAGTCACATAAGTATTTATTATTTATTATTTACGAGTCTTACCATTCCTTAGCATGCATTTCCCATTACAGAAAACCTATATGAAGGGGGATGAGTAGTTTTATAGCGCCTGCTGAAATAGTGTGTTCTATGAGGATGTCATGTTCGTCACCATTATGAAGGGTTGAATCTTGGATTCAATTCGTTTTACTTGTAAAAAATAGAAACAAAAGGACAGGCCCCTTTCAAAATAGTGAGTTCATTTTGTAGTGCTTCTGTTTTGTGATGCTTTGGAGAATATATATGTATCAATTAAGTTGTAATTAACAACAAGATTTTTGTTTTGAAATAAATATAAGGCTAAGTTTTCTGAATCTAGATTTTACCAGATGATATTGAAGAATAACAAACTCAATTAGGAATAACATTAAAATAATACTCATCAAATGATATGAGCAAGTACATGATCAGAAAGAAACTCAAGAGAACTTAATGATTACAAAGATACATAAGTAGTATAATCCATCTGTAAGGATGGATGTCATAAAACCAGCTGAGATATATAGATGAGTAGTGAGGAAAATAAATTAATCAACCCCCATATACATATGATTCAGGGAAGGGTTGTTTTGTGAGGTGGGGTGAGTGAAGGGATGGAGGGTAATGTGGGCTTTGGTAGCTCAGTTGGAAGATGGGGAAGAGTTGGTATTTCAGGCAACTTTGGCAATTCAGGCTTAGGCAATGGTGGCAGCTCAGGCTTTGGAAACGTTGGGAACTCGGGAAGTGGTGGCAATTCAGGCTTGGGAAGTTGAGGCACCGCAGGCAAGGTTGGAACATGGGGCACTTCAGCCAATTTCAGGCCCTCTGGCTTTGGTGCATTTTCGGCTTTAGAGAGTGGTGGCAACTCAGGCTTCGGAAACTTTGGCAATTCGGGTTTAGGCAATGGCGGCAACTCAGGCTTTGGAAGCTCATGCGGCAGCTCAGGCTTTGAAAACTTTGGCAATTCAGGTTTCGGCAACTGTGGCAGCTCAGGCTTTGGAAGCTCATGTGGCAACTCAGGCTTTGGAAACTTTGGCAATTCGGGTTTAGGCAACGGCGGCAGCTCAGGCTTTGGCAACGTTGGGAAATTGGTAAGTGGTGGCAGCTCAGGCTTCGGAAGCTCGGGCACATGAGGCAAGGAAGTCTCCAGAAGGCAGCGAGCCCCCGCAACTATTGTTTTGGAGCTCATAAATGAGAAGGTAAAGACCAGAACTAGTGGTAATACGAAGGCCGGGCGGAAGCCATGATCGACCACCATATTTGGAGCTAGCTAAATTAATGGTAACGAATGTATAGGACGAATGAAGTTTGCAGTTGTTGCATGCAAAGGTAAAAGCTGTGTTTTTTCATGAAAATTTAAACCATTATTTATAGAGAAATATAAAGGTTAGGTCAAACGGTATTGGTGTTGTTAGCTCAACTTCTGAACAGCATATCTATACTTCATTTCATTCCCTTCCACAGGTTTGTTGACAACCTTACACGATTGTTTCCCATATGAGCTTTATATATATATATATGCAAAATACTGAGTTTAAATCTATAATTCTTGCCAAGATGAGCTACCAGATGGACGATTAATAATAATAGTTCCCTGTTTTACAAGGAACTGTTGAGAGTTTAATGGAACTTTTGTAAAAGAACCAAAAACAGTACTATGTTTTCCCATAACTCATTCATTGGGAAAGTTAGCTTAAACAATACAACAAAATCTTGACTTCAGATTTAAATTTGAGAAATACGGACAAATAAAACCGTGACTTAATTACATGTATACGGCTCATTGTTTGTTCATTAAATTAACATGCACAATCTTCATTGATGAATTTTTTTCCGCCAATATCTTCGATGATCCTCCATCAGTGAAAGCTACGGTGCATTTAGTACTTGCAAAGTAGATGCTGTAAACAGTGTCATACTTCTCACCTTTCCTCTCTCTGAGTAGAAATATATTGTATAAAAAGATAAAAAAAGATATTTTGATTTAGGCTCAATCAACATAGCTACTTTTTGGTTTAACCCACCATTTATGTTGTTTCGATTTTAACCATAATTTTGCATTTATTCCTGATTTATATGACTATTTTGCCGTTGATGGTAAACATAGAATTATGGGTGAATGGTCGATATAATCCCTGAGCTATCACCTTAGTGAAAATTAGATTCTTGAATTATTTTTTGGGTAAAATAAGTCCCTATTCATTAAAAATTACTAATTTCATCCCTACTAATATATTCTAAGCCATTTAATTTATCTAATTTTTCGTCATCTTAAGGCACTTGCTACAATTTAGAGTGTAATATCGTCATTTTCTCGCCTCTAAGCCCTTACCATTTCATATAGGTTGCGAATCTAATGTCTAATTTACCCTACAAAGTAAACTTCATACACTATATCTTTATGGAAAATTACCAAGCTACTCTCCAATGTGTATCATATTCAAGTAACATGACTTAAATTGACGGAAAATTGAATATAGTAGCTTAAAATCTAATATTAGGGATGTAATTGGTAAATTTTTATAATTCAAAAACTGATTTTTCTGAAAAAATAGTTTAGAGACCTAATTTTCACTCAGGTAATAATTCAAGAACTAAATTGACAATTCACCCTAGAATTATTATTATGTTTTTGACAAAACCCTCCTACGGTACCTATACATTTGGTATCAAAAATTCCACAAACAGTACCTATACAATCGGTATCAAAACCCAAAACCCACCCCGACAACTATACATTCAGCATCAAAACCCACCTCGGCACCTATACATTTGGTATGAAAACCCACAATACTTAAAAAATGGGTATCAAACCTAGTAATACTTAAAAAATGGGTATCAGATCTAGTACCTATAAAATCGGTATCAAACTCGCTACGAGACTTTCTAAAGATACACTACATTGAATAATCAACATGTACCTTAAGGTATTCTACCTCAAGGATAGAATTAGGTTCGATTGCGATAATTCACCTCTCATACAAATTCAGGTAGAATCAATAAAAGTCAGCCTATATTGAATAAAGACATTTTTTTTTTTAGTTCTAAAAGGTCTAAAAAACTCTTGGCATTCAATTATGACTTTTTGCAATTCTACAGATTAAAATTTAGATGTATTCAAAAGTTCATTGATTTTAAAGGGTTTTAAAAAGTCATGTACTTTCATAGACTTTGAGGCTTTTTATGGTATGTTTATTGTCAATTTGTCATAGCAAATCCAACCTCTTTTCCAAAGATTTTGATGGATTTCACTATAATGATATACTTCCCCACCCACATAATGCAAGGATGATCACTATTTCTACTTTCACCATTCCATGTGGTAACCACCTCTTAACCATGACCACCTCTGCTACCCTATTGCCGACAATTGCCAACATCGTCACCACCATCATCACCACTAATGCCGCCATCGCAACCATTATATCATTTCTTCTACCATCACCTTGTCATACTCATCACCGATTCATTTTCACCACCATCAATTCATATCTTCCACCAAAAATACAAGGAGCCGAGTTGTAGTTTCAAGAATTCTTCCATGCCATCAAATTCAACCATGTCTATGATCGATCATGAACATTTTTTTATTTTATTTTATTTTTTTTTGCTAGGGCTAAGATGTAGCCTAGTTATGACCGACTAAGGATAGACATGGTTGAATAATGGCATAGAAGAATTATTGAAACTCCTACTCGGCTCCAAAGCAATGCAACGTTCGACTCCTTGTTGTATTTTTGGTGGAAAATATGAATTGGTGGTGGTGAGAAAGAATTCCCATACCCTCTCTCTATATATGTCACAAACCTTTAGAATTAGGGTAGGAACTAGCAAATCCAAATTGGATTTGGATTCGAGTCTTTGTTGGCAAGCAAAATCAAAGCATTTTTCCTTTTCCTCTTTGAACACGGCACCACTCCTAATCCTATTTGGATTTTGTTCCTTGATCAGCCAAATTTACTTGCATAGGTTCAACGGCACATGATAGCAACCCAACTCGTAATTCTTCAGGTATTCTCGTATTTTTACTTAAATCTACATATTGTTCTCAATCCATATTTTCTATAAAATTCTCACAAAACACATTACATCCAACAATCTAGCAACAAAACATGACTAAATAATAGGTAAAAGAGGTACGAGTATGCATATAATATCAACCTAACAAGTGCATTTAAAAATTTAAACTTAATTTAGTGCATCCTTTGTACAATTTAAAAGTAGAAAGGAAAATGAAAAAGAAAATATCAGCACCGGCCGGGTACCTGGCATAGGGGACAAAAATTCTGAAATTAGCCCTCAGCCACTCACACAAGGTGACAGGAGTACTGGTAATGTAATTTTAGGGTTAGCCCCACTTGATTTGGACCTCACAAATTTTATATATACTAAACGCCTAACTTTCATGTTAATTCCCTTTGTGTCCTTTTTACTGTTCCTTCGCCAGTGTTATTCCTGTTTTGCCCTTCAGTTGTTCTGTAAGTTTAACTTTTTGTGTATATTATACAGTAAAATTCCGTTTTTGTCCCTGCTACGATAGAAATCTCTCGATTTCTTCGTGTTGTGTGCTTCCAGCATCTTCCACTTTTCACTTTCCTCTTCTTTCCTTCTCTTTCCGTTTCTCTCATCCTAGAACGGAAGAACGATGGAAAATCAGGGTTCTTCCATTTGCTTCCACAGATTTCTCGATCTCTCTCGAGCTCCGGATCCCTAGCCTCCGTATGAAGGTTCGTTTTTCTCTCTCTCTCTTTCACTTTTTTTTTTTTCAATTCGTGATCGAATTTTCTTTCCAAGAATGTTACATCTGTTGCCTTCGGGAAGAAAGTTTAAACCTAAAAAGGCTTGGTTTTCAGGAAATCGTCAATCCTGCAGAATCCTTGGGTTTCCTGGTGAGTTATTCGGCATATTTGTTTTGGATTTGGTTTTTGAATTCTCTATTCTTTGTTTAAATTTTTGTGATTTTAAAACCTCTCGGTGGCTGCAGATTTCATCGGCTATTTCATCAGTTTTTGGATTCGATCAGGATCGGTTTTTTACCCACGAAATCTAGAGTCTTTTGGTAAGTTTCGTGACTTTCTCCGTGTTGCTGTTTCAAATTTTGTTTTTGTGGTTTTCGATGTTCACATGGATTTTTTGTTTGAATTTTGTATTTGTGATTTTGCGTGTTGTTTTGAATTTACAGATGGCTTTTTCTAGGTTCGGTGAATTTACAGGGGAGAGGGAGAGAGAGGCCTGTTGAGGTAAACTCTTTTGCTAAAAGCTTCTAATTCATCCTTTATTTCTTTTTTCATCTGGGCAAAATTTTTGATGGATTTATGTTTTTTTTTTTTTCCGTTGAATTCGAACTCCAATCTGAATTATGGATTCAGAAAAAACAAATTGATGAATTTTTTATTTGCGTGCATGTCGGTCGTGTAACCGCATGATTTGATAATCCGACCGCGAAGCTAATTGTTTCTGTATGTTTTTGGATTGCAGACCTGGACTGTCGAATGGAGAGGATGAAAAGCAACTGCAGGAAAGCGGCAATGGAGACCCGACAGCAGCATTTTCAAGTCGATCTGGGTAATCTCATAGCCTTCGACCCTCATCACAGATTCCCCTCCATCCCCTTCTCTAAGTTATTTTTCTTTACTTATTCAATATATCTCTATTTTTTGGTAATATTTTGTATACTTCTGGGCTTTTTGAAATTATTGCTTTTGAGAAATTAATTGAAAATTTACTTTTGGAAATTGGGATTTTATTTGGATTAATCCCATCAGTAAAGTGGCAGTCATAAGTGAAATAATGAATTTATCACACTATGCTGATGGGTTTTTGTTCAGTGGGTGAAATTCTGATTTGTTTTTTTCATGGTATTTAGGGAGGAATTAGTGAAGGAATGTATAAAGAGAGGGACCGAGTTGGTTTAAGCTATTGCGAATGATCTTTTTTTGTTTTCTTTGTAGAATTTCTGTGTGTTACTCTCACTCTTATTTTCACTCTTGCTCACAATCTCACAATATAATATTTCTCTTGGTCTTACTCTTACTCCGACTGTGACTCACAATTTCATACTTGCTCATTACTTTCTTGGGGGTATTAAGTTACTATCAATTTTTGTCAATGTTTATTCATATTAATTGTTCCGTGGCAGAACTGGAGAGTGTGTTCTTTCCAATCTTAAGCCAGGAAACATGTGGAGTATTAAGTCAGAATGGTTCTTGCTGCTTCAGACAGTGGCCACACCACAGTAAGCAGCCCATAGACCTTTAATAGTATTTGCATGATTATTCACTTTTTGAGTGACACCAAACAAAGGAGTCTACTAATTTTAACTTTTGGTCTCTGACATGGTTTGAATTAAAGACGATTTTTTTTCACAACATAATGTTACACTTGCTGCTGCTGTAGAAGAGTTAATTTCTGGTAGACAGATGATTATAATGTTGTTCCTATTATGCATAAGGTCGTGGTTATAATATTGTGAGATTTTGTTTCTGCATAAATCCAGTAGTGGTTTTGATAATCAAAAAGTAATCTCTCAACTTATCATCAGGTGCTTAAAGATTTGAATTTTTTAAAGTGGTTCCACAAAACCTGCACAGTGGTTCCACAAAAATCTGCAAAGTGGACGTTATGTTGCTTGCAGCAGTAGATTGTTCTTTTCTATTTAAGTTGTAAGCTTTGTTTTCTATTTGGTAACTGTTGTTTATTATTGGTTGTTTCAAACTATTTATTACATGTGTATTAACATTTTCTTTCATTTGTAGCTTCTTTGTTTTTTTTTCTTCTTCTTTTTTTTCTCTGATGATCAAAACTATTTTTTCTGCAGTGACTGCTTCAACCAAAAAACTTTTGCTCATGTGTTAAAGGATGTTGGCATCTGTTATCCAAAACAAACAAGTATGGAATCACATTTTTTTGTGCAAATAGTTGATCCAAACATGAATTATCAAGGTGGAATACTAGGTTAATCATTTTTGTATACTAATAAGGCATTTGATAATGTCTTTTCTGTAAGTTATATAAATTTTGACAGCTTTGTAAATATATTTATTCCATTTTCTGTTTAGTATTTATAACACTTTGCATATTTACATGTTAAAACATACTCTTATAGTTATATTTTCGCTCCCGCAACAACGTGCGGGCAAAATTTACTAGTTATTACTATGATACAAAAGCCTAGTAGTCCCCATTCTTGTTTATTACGACCTCTCCGAGTAGACCTACGACATAACAACAGCTTTGCATTTTCCATGTGTTACTCAAGGCATTTCCTTTTCAATTGCCTTGTTCTCATTAGGAAAGGTGTGACAAAATCGCCTCCCCTCCTTATTTCATCACATGTAATTTGTTTGTCAAGTTTTTCAGCCAAGTTCAAACTGATCTTCCCATTTTTGCTGCCAGCAGTTGGTTCACTATAAGAAAGAGCTAGTAGGCTCACATTACGTAGTACTCACAGACAATGAGCCCCATGGCACTTGTGGAAAAATTTAAGTCAGCTGCACGGACTGCATCTGTTTTTTATCAAGGAAATTGCACCTTCAAATGCATCACAGAGGAGACGCCACTGTCTTCCTGCTTTGATTCTTCAGCACCTCCAAGGCCCTTGTTCATCGTTACACCAACGGTTGCCGGCACCTACCCTGTAATCTTGCTTCATCACGGCTTCTACCTCAGCAACTATTTCTACAAAGAGTTACTCCAGCACAAAGCTTCTCATGGATTCGTAGCTGTAGCACCTCAGGTACTATTGTCTTACAATATTCTATATTAAGGCCATATAGTGTAATTTTTTTTCCTACTTTAACAATTATTGTCCTTGATATTTGAGCTCTAATCTACTACAACAAAAGGATCATGAGTGTTTGAAAATGCTTTTATGCCTATAAGAACTTTTCACTAGTACAAAAACATGTTTGCGCGACGCAGCTAAATGCGTCGCGCAAAGTATGTTTTGCGTGACGTTAAACACAAAACGTCGTGCAAATGGCCTTTGCGCGACTGCACTTTGCGCGACGTTTTGTGCGTCCCGCACGATTTTGGCGCTGAAGCAAGTAATTTGTACCCTTTTTTCTGTTGACTTTGCGTGACGCAGGGCTACGTGAGTCGCGCAAAACAGCTTTGCGCGACGCACGTGCACTTAGGTCGCACAAAACATCTTTGCGTGACGTATGTGGCGTCGCGCAAAACAGCTTTGCGCGATGTAAGTGCACATACGTCACGCAAAGTCAGCGACTTTTTTTTTCTTTACTTAATCAGTTTGGGTGGTAGAAACTGCAAACTAGTTGCAGCAGCTACCTCCCTTGGATCTTGACAATGTTTTCGCCATGCTTTCATGCAACCTCATTCAATATTCCTTCAACACCTTATTTACACTTTAAAACCTACATCTATGGATGGTTTATCTCGTTCGCACCTTTAAGAATAATATTTTGCAACGTTTACTTATTTGAAACAAGAGAAATTTAGAATCTGGGAATGAAAATGAAAAGAACAAATGAATATGCAAACAACGAGCCTTCGAATTGGTTAAAATTCCTGATCCACGTGTTAGTAACTAACAAGCTAAATTTTTTCAATTCCATGTGTTAGTAAACAAATAGATTGGCAAGTCGAGAATTGTATTTTTGAACTTTAATCTTTTAAGACGATTAAAATTTAATAAAAATCTAGTGTCAGATTGTATATTGATTTTAGTCTCTTAATGTGTACTGAATTCAAACTCATATTATATTTTTGTTTTATAGATATCTTATTTAATGTCATTGCATTAAATTTTAAATTTATTATTATACACATTAAGAGACTTTAAATTGACGATCGAATTAGTTCATTGTATTCATATAGGGTCAAGGAGTTAAAACTACCGTTAAATCGTTAAGTTCTTTGAAAACCATAAACATTGACGAAGCACTCGTTCGCACCTTTAAGAATAATATTTTGCAACGTTTACTTATTTGAAAAAAAAAATAATAATAAATAAAGCAGATGTAGCCTTCACAAAGGTTGTTTACGTGAAGCCCCACTACGTGGCAAAACTATCGAAGCAGGAGGCATCGGAGCGAGAGGCATCGGAGATGGATCATTCGAGGCCTCAATACTTGGTGGAACGCTAGATGACCCAGGAAAAAGGTGCCTCTGGAGATAAGCCGCAAGCCGTTGACGGTCACTTTGAATCCGACCTTCAGATTCTTGTAGCTCATCAAGCTTCCTCTTCATGCCCGTCGAATAATTGTTTGCAAGCACGTGCAAACTTCTATTCTCGTGCTTAAGCTGTTTGATCTCTTGCTTGAGACTTTCCACCTCTGCCATCAACGATTCAACCTGACGGGAGCGAGCAAGTAGGCGTTGGCCCATGTTGGACACAGAGCCTGCACACTGAACATTGAGAGCGAGGGACTCTTGAACGGCCAACTCATCGGACCGTCCTGAAAGCAGCCTACTATCTTTAGGAGTGAGGAGGTTCCTAGCTACTATCGTAGCTGTTGTTGCATCCGTCATCATGGAGTCTTCACCTGTAAGAGGGCCATTAGAAGATAAAAAAGAAGGGCGCCATACATTACCTTGACGGGGCGCAATCGGATCACTGTTGAGACTCAAATCTAAGCAAAGGTTAGATGGGTTAGCCATTTTTCAAAGGTGTTCAAAGAGAAGGGTTGGATGGAGTAAAATCTAAAAGGGCCGGAGACGATTTTCAAGAATGGGCAATCTTCAAAGTGTGCATGTTGGAGGTGATCGATACCTCTATAAAAAGCCAAGGCGACAAGACCACCGATTCAAAAAGCCGGAATTTCAAGCGTAAAGTTCGACGACGCTCTCTCGGCTTTCCAGAAAACGCGTTCAACTTTGTCAAAAGATCTCTGACAAAGTTGAAAACACGTGGAGGTCATCATCGCAACTACACACTTTTGCCGACAAGCGTAAAGTTCGGCGACGCTTTCTCTGCTTTTCAGAAAACGCGTGCAACTTTGTCAAAAGATATCTGACAGAGCTGCATCCGCACTACTACGTGTCGTTCAGAAATCCAAGAGGCGTTTGTTCAGAAATCGAAGAGGCGTTTGTTCAAAAAGCAAAGAGGCGCTAGCTCAGAAATCAAAGAGGCGTTCGTTCAGTACCACCACTTGCTATTGGGAAATCCCTATATATGTCGACCTTCATCTTTTATGGCAAGGCAGACCTGAAGAAAATGCCCAACTCTTCCTCACCTCTGAGGGCGCATTCCCAACAAAGCCTCTCGAAATACTCAATTTTTTCTTCTTCCCCAAAGAAGATACCAGATGCCTGGAGTACAGATGACCCAGGAGGAAACGGTAGATCGAAGCATGTGGAGACAAGCACAACAAATACATGTGCTGATTCATTCACCGCTTCTTCAAAAGCAAAGGTATCTCATATCATCAAGGTCAAAAGCAAAAGTATCTCATATCATGCTCTTTCCCTGTCTTTTTCTTTGTCCTTGTTCTTACTCGCATGGCAAAGTGAAAGAAGCAATCAGCCGGCACTTGGAGTCAGTCTTCCGATCTGGAACCGACTGCCTGGAATCTATTCCCTGGTTGCTTACCTAGCGTTGCTCTCGAGTAGTCATCTTCAACGGTTGATACACTTCCAGAGAAGGGACCACTTCTGCAAAGGGGAGCAAGTAAGGCAAGTGAAAATGATACATTGAAGCATGTGGAGACAAGCAACAACTGCATATGCTGAGTTATCCTCTAACCCTCTTCAATACGAATTGGAGAGATTGAACAAAGAAACAGATAAAAGGAGTAAGCTCAGACCTTCGGGGGAGAACAAAAGAATCCTCCAGCCCAGTTCAAGATTAAGCCTGTGGAAAATCAACGATGGGAGGAAACCAGTTCAAGATTAAGCCTGTGGAATCACCAAGATCAAAGTTTTGTCGCGTTACTTGATCTCTAAATGTTTTTTTTTCCTATTTTTGGCGTATGCGATCTCGAAGCATATACAAACAAGTTTGACGGTTGGATCGTTGAAACTAGTTTCGTACAATGTGTTTCCCATCAAGTGCAATGGTATATGTATTTACTAAGTAGATTTTAATTTATTTATTTTGTGCTTATAACACTTAAGAAATTGAATGATATATATGTAAAAAAAATTATTATGGGTTTTTTTTAGAATAATATATTATTGTGGGGTTTATGTGAAATAAAAATTGAACTTGAAAGGAGTAAAGTCACATTTTTGGTAATTTTTTTAATACTTAAAAAAAAAAATAAAAAAACCTTGCGCGACGCTTTAATCGTCGCGCAAAACCACTTTGCGTGACGTCGAATTGTATACCTACGTCACGCGAATTGATAATTTTGGCGAAAAATAGGCGCTTTTTTTCAATTTTTCCAAGTTTTGCAACCATATATCCTATCCTATTTTCCTCTCGGTTTTTCTTTCCGTAGAGCTCTTTTCCTCAAATTGCAGACCTCTTTTCCTCTTCCTCTTGCTTAAATTGCAGACTTTCCTCTCGCTCAAATTGCAAATCAAATTGCAGGAAAAGACTTTGTGCTCAAGGTATATAATAAGGTATGTAGCCTCATTATTACACCTTATCTTATCTCCTGTTGATACGAATTTTGTTGGTTTTTCGATTTTATCAGGGTCCCTTTTTTTAACGTCTGGCGTTCGTTGGTGAGTTTTTCTACTTTTTTAGTACTTTTTTGCAGATATAGCCTACAAATGTTGTCCCGAAGGTTGGACATAATCATTACTTCCTATTACAATTATTAAAGTTAATTCAATTAACTAAAGTTGATTTGAATGTGATGATGATGGAGATATTTGCATAGGTGATAGAATCTTGCTGACAACTTTCGATATTCAGATGGAATTTGTGTATGAATTTTGTTTATCTAATTTAGGGTGTTCTGTTTATATCGTTAGATTCGTCGCCTGAGTGTATGATTTGCTTCTGTTTTTTGTTTCAGGAGATGTTGCTCTACATTTATTCGGGCTTTTGTGTGCAGCTTTCAAACCTAGAAGACTACTTGTTGTAGTTTTTTCTTTTTTTGTTTAGACATCTTGTATGCACATTTTCATATGGTTTATAATTAAACTTTTTCTTGGTTTATTGTTTATTGTTTAGAATAATTACAATATTTATTAAAAATTAAATCCAAAATATTAATAAATCCAAAATATTTTTGTCAAAAAAATTAAAAAAAAATTAAAACATAAAAAGTTTGCGCGACGAAAAAGTTCCATAGGTCACGCAAAGTGGGTTTGCGTGACGTAGGTATGTGTCACGCAAAGTGTCTTTGAGTGACGCCAACCCACTTTGCGTGACGCATCCTACGTCACGCCAACCCACTTTGCGTGACGCATCCTATGTCACGCCAACCCACTTTGCGTGACGCACACCCACTTTGCGTGACGCATGTTATTACGTCACGCAAAGACATTTTGCGTGACGCATGTAACTTCTTCGTCGCGCAAAACCTTCTTTCACAGGCGTGGCACGACGCTTGTCGCGCAACGAAGGTTCGTCACGCAAATTTTTGCGCGACGTTTTTTTGACTTTGCGCGACGAAGGACCTACGTCACCCAAAGTATTTTTTGTACTAGTTTGTTTCCTAGTGTGCTTTAATTACCTATACCCTAAACCTTAAACCCTAAACCCTGAAAGGATAATATGCGAGGTAGACAAAATTTGTTCACCACATTTTGTAAGCTAAATAATATGAAAGTTGATGATTGAATATTACTTAAGTGTTGATTAACATGTTTATTTCTTATTGGTGATAAATTATTTAATTTGCAAATTAAGTTTCCCTAGTATTACCCTATCTAAAAATATTTTTCACCATTTTAAATGAACTTCCAAACAAACTTTTAGTTTTAAGGAAAATTTATTAAATGATCAAAAATTAAATCCAAATTGCTAAACAGATAAAAAAAAAAAATCAAATAATAGCGATACAGTATTGACTGCATAGCAATCATGTATTAAACACCTATCCATCAAATATCGACCATATTTAAAAAATGATCATTTCATGATTTGAAAAAATAAATTAGGATTATTTTGGCCAATTTTCATAGTTTTAATACATTGTCTGACAACAAAATTAATTTGTGAGTTGGGTTTTGTCATTTTGATTAGTTATGTGGGTATGTATGTACCTCCAAGTGGACCTGAGGAAATCGAGTTAGGGGCAAAAGTCATAAACTGGTTACCAAAAGGCCTCCAATCCCTGCTGCCAGAAAATGTTATAGCAGACTTCACCAAAGTTGCTCTATCAGGCCACAGCAGAGGTGGGAAAACAGAATTTGCAACAGCACTTGGGCATGCCAAATCTTCACTCTCCCTCAAAATATCAGTCCTCATAGGCATTGACCCTGTGGCGGGTGCTGACCAACACTGCAGAACATATCCCCATATTCTCACCTATTCCCCTCAGTCATTCAACCTCTCGATTCCGGTCGCAGTGATCGGGACCAGACTGGGACCGGAACCGAAGAATGCTTGCATGGCACAACCATGTGCCCTAGATGGCGTGAACCACAAGGAGTTCTTCTATGAATGCAAAGCCCCATGTGCACTTTTTGTTGTCAAGGACTATGGGCACATGGACATGTTGGACGACGATCCACGGGGCGTGGTTGGGGCATTGTCGGGGTGCATGTGTGAAAATGGGAAGGGACCGAGGGAGCTAATGAGGAAGGCTGTGGGTGGGATTGTTGTGGCGTTTTTGAAGGCTTATTTGAATGGTGATGATAGGGATTTGGTTGCCATTGTTGGTGATCCTTATATTTCTCCTGCAAAGCTTGATGCTGTGCAGTTCATTAGGGCATAAACTCAAGCTCAAGCTCAACGTCTTAGCAGTATGATTATGGTTTCCGGAGTTTTATCAAATTGGTGTGCTCATGCTTACGAAGCTCTTTTATTTTTTTTGTTTCGAGCTAATAATGTATTAGTATTTTGGAGGGATCTTTATACTAATAATGTTTTTGGATTATCTGTGATGTGTGTGGAGTGGAATAAGTTCTTACAATTTGACAGAAATTCAAATAAGTTGATAAGCTGCCAAAGGCTTCAAAAATTCCAATCAAAACTGGTCCCAAATGCAGTAATTAATTAGAAGGGCCAAAAGATCTAGCTAGCGACTTGGAGCTTCGGAAAAAAACAATGTCCCAAGACTCATTGCTTGTTTTGAGAAATATTTCATTGTGACGGGAACATGGGTGGTAAACCATGTGGTTTTATGTAAATGATGGAAAATTTTATTTTTTAAGTTATTAACTTTTTAACCCACATATCTCAATAGTAACACGTGATGTACCACCTCGTGTGCCAGTCACACTAAAAAATCTCTGGTTTATTTTAGAACAAACAAAATAGGAAAACCCATGTGGCAAGTCACCGTAACAACTAAACCAGCCAAGTATTTTCCGGGTTTGTCTATGACATGGTCAATTGAGTATACGCGCTTTGCTAACTACACATAAAGCCCGGGAAGGGGTAAACTAAACTACGTACCAAAGCTACCCAGAACGTTTTACTTGAAAGTAAATCTGTGGCAGCATCAAATACTTGTAGTGCAAGAAAAGTCATTCCAAATCAAGCTTAGTGGGTGATATCTTGCGTGTTCCAAATGATCATTAGTGGACTCTAAACCCCCTAAATGAGAAGGGTAGAGAATACAGAACATGCATGAAAGTCGTCAAAGCAAAGTGTAAACAAGTGTAAAGAGTACGTAATAGAGAGAATGACAAAAAGAAAAAGGATTATAAAGAGAGAACTTTTTATTTTTTTTAAGTTTTACTATTATAACGGGTAGGGAGGAGAGTTAAAAACTGTTGTAATGATTTAGGGGAGAGGGGGAGTTTCGAACTCGGCATGTATGGTAGAAACCCAATACCCTATCTACTAAGATATTGATCACATGCAATTATAGAGAATGTTTGTGTATGCATGTCAAATTAATTAAGTGTAAATGATAGTTGACATGGGCATAGCAACATTATTTAGGGTCAATGTACTCATTTTATGCACTTGAGTTCAAATTCTCATTTATGTAATTATGATTAAATTAAAGTAGAATATCATCATTTAAAAAAACAGTGTAAAGGGTGGAGATACTATTGGTCAATAATATCGTCCTTTCATAAAAACAAGTGTAAAGGGAAGAGATAATTAATACTGGTCAAAATAAAAGGGATACAGGAAAAAGAAAATGCCATATATATCCTCTACTTCTCGCCCTCATGGAATCTTATATATGAAAAGAACTAGTAAATCGAAAGAAGCCATTTCTCGTTTTCTTTTCTGTTTAATTAAGTGGCAGTTCTATCATGATGATCATGAATATGGACATGGAGGTCATGCAGACATATTTGTTCAAAATCACCCTAACAAGCCAATGGAAAGAAGTTGTTAGAACCTATAGGCTTGACCCTCGAGCACACACGGCGAAGATCACGGAGTCAGGTGACACAGCATTACATGTAGCAGTGTCCGATGGCCAAGAAGAGCACATTGAAGAGCTAGTAAAACTGGTTTCCACAAACGAGCTGCTTCAAGTTCGAAACGAGCGAGGGAATACCCCTCTCCACATTGCAGCATCGATGGGGAATGTGAGAATGTCTGAGTGCATTGCCAGACACCATCCCATGTTGGTTGGTGCTCTTAACAAAGAAAATGAGACCCCTCTCTTCTTGGCTGCTCTCTACGGTAAAAAATCTGCCTTCTTATGTCTACACTACATCTGCAGCCTTCATGATAATCAGCAACGCTACAAGTACTGCAGGAGGAAGGACGGTAATACTATCTTGCATTGTGCAATTGCTAGGGACTACTTTGGTAATTAACCTCATCACTTAATTAATTTGATTAATTTATTGCATACTTCCATGTATCAACTAACTAATATTTGTTTATCCTAAATGTATTTTGAAATTGACAAATTGTGAATCTGAATCTCCTATCCAATAAATACACAATATTTACAAGCTTACATCTTTTGTTGACAGACGGTTTGGAAAGAGAACGTTTCTCTATATTAAGAATATGATTGACAATACCAACTTTGTTGTTGTGATTGACAGATTTGGCCTTTCAGATAATCGATCTGTATGAAGATCTAGTTTTTTACGTCAATGAAGAAGGACACTCCCCTCTTCATCTTCTTGCCAGTAAGTCTTATGCATTTGCAAGTGGTAGTCGGCTTGGACCATGGGACAAAATCATTTACAATTGTAAGTGTTATATACCAAGACAAAAAGCTAGAATCACATAAGTTTTGTGCTAAAGTACTCATCAAGACGAAAAGCTAGAATCACAGAAGTTTTGTGTTAAAGTACTCATTCTTCTCAATTTATCTGTATGGCAGCTGTATATGTTGGTAAGCTCAAAAGGGAGGAACGACCGGATCATTTTAACGACGAGCTAACAAAGACATTGAAAGATGGAAGGGATCCCAAATATCCAGAAAACTATCAAACTTGCATCACCTTCTTTCGGTTGGTGTGGAGTATGGTTCAAGTATTTGGTATGTGAATTTATATTAGATGAACTAATTTTAATGTCAAACTTTCAATCTATAGAGTTTACTATAAGCATAATTGTATATTTTGCATGCAGTTACCAATAGGAAAGAAGATGATCAGGGGGAAAGCCGAAAAAATTCAGCAGATACAGAGAACCCAGTAGTAGTTCGACCTACGGTTGCTCTGAACAGAAGAAATCCAGGTATAAGCTCTGAGTTGTACTATATATATTACGTTCACTGATAACAAGAAAATAATTATTCTGGTTCAAAATAATAAATAGGATCGCAATCAAATATTGGAGCACAGCAACATCAATCAATTCCGAGCCATTACAGCACCTGCTTTGAGTTCGTAAAACTTTTCTCAAAGGCAACATTGCTGTTTGTTTTTGGATGGGGTATGGACCTGTTCATGTATTGAAAAGAAATTCCCAATCTCTTGGTACTTTAATCTCATGCATGCATCCATAAACATATACAAGAAACGTTTCCCTTGTTACTGCAGGGTCTAAGGGTATAAAGAGGATAAGGGAAAAGAAACAAAAGCACAAATGGTCAGTTCAAATCATGAACGAACTACTAAAACGTGCTTCCTTGTATGCGTATGAAGACAACGGTATTAATCCACAGACAGCACCATCCCACAAAAACGAAAAATATGATGAAACAAGGCCTTATGAAGTTGATCATGGCGATGAAGTTGTCACCCTCGGAGTCGGAAGCAATACTAAACAGCCTGTTGTGAATCCTCCGCGACAAGATGAAAGTAAGGCAAAGAATGATAAAAAGAAAATTGCCGAAGGTAACCGCTTTGGTGCTCTAGCTTCTATGCATGAATTATATATATATCAAGGGAAAAAAAAAACCCCAGGGTTTCAATTATGAAGACATAGTTTTGTTTTAGCTAGCGAAGATATATAATTTAAGTAGATTCAATACGACACTAGCTAGCTTAATTTGGCTAGCCACTAGCTAGCTTAATTTAGCTAGCCAATCTCTAAAGTGCAAGATAAAATGTACCTTGGGATAATTATTGGCAGAAATGAGAGAGAAGATAACCCTTCGAATGGGAAAGAGGGAAACACCCTTCTTGATTGCTGCAAGAAATGGTGTGACTGAAATGGTGGAGAAGATACTTGAACTTTTTCCCGTGGCCATCCGTGACATTAACTCGGAGAGAAAGAATGTAGTGCAGGTGGCTGTGGAGAGCAGGCAACTCCATGTGTACCGGCTCTTTCTAAGGAAAAATATCTCGATGAGAGATAACGTTTTCAGCAAAGTGGATGATAAAGGGAATAGTGTGTTACATCTCGCAGCAATGTTGGGAGACCATCAGCCTTGGCTAAATCATGGGCCTGCGTTCCAAATGCAATGGGAAATCAAATGGTATCAGGTGAGACTTTAAACTCATGCAACTACTGTTGAATAAGAAGAGTATACAAGATAACTCTAATGATCCCAAGAAGAAGAAAATAGAGCACACTCTTAAAGAAAGCTCACAAAACAAACTAATTAGCAAAGTTTTTCTTATTTAGCTCTAGGCTTTGTTTTTCCTTGGATGATATACAATGCTTGAGGACTTGGGTATTTATAGCAAACCAAATGAAAGCTACACCACACACTTACTTCACCTACAACATCCACCTACTTCACCTACAACCTCCACTTACTTCACCAACCTCACACACTTACTTCACCTACAACATCCACCTACTTCACCTACAATTGACATTGATTCTCAACACTCCCCCTCAATGTCAGCTCTCATTCTTTGCACTGTGCTGAGCAGACAGCGAAAATTTTCGAG